CCAAAGATGAGCATGCCAGAATGCAAAAGCAAGGTTTAATTCTGGATATCCAAAAGCAATACAAGCCTAGGCAGGGACTTCGTCCAACAGATCCAACACAGTAAAGGCTAGAGGAAGTGCCCGCCTGTCTGCAAGCTCAGTTTTTTAAAGGCAAAAATCACTAGGTTACATCATTTAGGGGTGCTAGTATGGGTACAATTCTGATTGCCTTGCTTCTAGGGACTTTCTAGAAATCATGGCTTAATCTTATTTCTAAGGGGGTGGTTGTCCACCACTGTTTCTCATTGGCTGCCCTCAGGTGGGGACATTTTTATAGTCAGTTACCTAGGGAACCAGGGAGAGGACATTCCATAGTCTGGCAGTCATTACCTCGTGACTACCTTGTGACTCTATACTTTTACATTTCCTGGTTTCTGGAATCTGGACTGACTGGTTACAGTAACTCATGGCCTATACCTTAAAGAAGAAATCCCAGGCCTTAGTTTTAGGGTGAAAGCATTTGGTTTTATTTCTAAGATGGCTCATTTTGGTTTCACAGTTGTTATGTGTTCCATTTTTGGGTTGGGTCACAAAAGTAGAAACTTGCCTTTTATTTTATACCTATTTGATAGCAAGCATGTGCTCTGCCTACAGAAGGATCTTTCCTATTACAGTTATCAATCTAATTCCAGTTTTAAAAAAATCACTTAAATAATTATAGATTTATATGTAGTTATAATGGAATAGTGTGAAGAGATCTCTATATTCTTAATCTATATTAGCTCATGTTTTAGTTTATAAAAGTTATGTACAAAACCACAAGCAAGTTATGGAATGTAGGCAAGTCTACCTGGCTGCTTAATATTATGTGGTTTTACTTGTGCTCCTTTGTATGTATATTTACTCCTGTGTGACTGTGTTGTTTGTGTGGTTTTATCTCAATTTGGTGGTTTAATCAGCCACCATTGAGATACTATTTCTGTTGTCTTCAGTTTTCTCTGTTACAGAGCTATAACACAGCCACCCTTCCTACCCTTGACAACCAAAAAGCTCTCAACTTTTAAAAGAGATTTCTTTTACTTTGGAGATTACTTCTTTTTTTCACTAATATGCCTGCATACCTAAGTATGACCTGCTCAGTCTGTATAATGTCACTTGTTTTCAGGGCTGAGCACTTGTTACTGGATAAGCAATTGATCATCTTTTCCTAGGGAAGACTACTCCTCATCCTCTGAGCGTTCCTTAGGCGTCTGTAGTCCTTTGTACAAGGTTGAGGCCTCCTGAACTCTTCCTGGTCTGCAATAACATGTTTATTGGTGTCATCTATGTTCAGCTGATTAGGCAGTCATGTTAGTGAGAATTTCTGACATTGCTAGGAGACAGTGCCACTGGCAACTCCCTTGTCTCTCTGGCTCTTACAATTTTAAAAATTTTGTCATTTCAAAAATGGTACACAAGTGTAACCACGTATATTGTATGACCTTTGGAGATGGGCTATCCACTGCGTACCGGAGAGTCACTCAAAGCGTGACATGTATCAAATGGAATTGTGCCAATTTTTAATGAGCAGTACTTGTTGCTGAATGGTGTATATTCACCACGTTTATTTTCAGCATCCATCCATTTCAGCACACCTGTTCAGTTGCTATTTTTGCCTCTTACAAATAAAGTTGTTATGAAGCTGGCTGTATAATTGTTTCAGTGATCATTTTCCACTCTTTTCTTATGGAAGAGTTATCTCTTCTGTGGTTTCTCTGCATGTATCCAACCATTCAATGTTCCTTCTAGAGCTAAAATGTTACCTTTGTGTGAGCTTGATTCTTCAGTTGTAGTTGCTACGTGGTTCCATGGGCCAGGAATTGTGCTTGCTTTCTTCGTCTTTGGTTTTCTGGACTGGCTGCTCATTCTCCCAAACTTCCCCTGTAGAAACCTAATACCCGATGTGAAGGTAGTTGGAGGTGGTAGCTGAAGGGTGGTAATAATAGGCTATGAGGATGGCCTCAATGATGGCCTCTGTTGGAAGAGTGCATTTATAAAGAGGCACACAGGAAAGTTTTCTTAGTTTATTTTTTGCCATGGAAGGATGCAAAAAGAAAAGGGTCATGTCAAAACCAGGAAGAGGATTCTCACCTGAATCTCACCATGATGACATGCTCTTCTCAGATTTATTAACCCACAGAACTGTGGGAAAGAACTTCTGTAGTCTGGGACACCAAGCTAGCTATGGATATAGAATCTAACACACTATGTGATCTGGATATAGATGCTTGTCTCTAAGATACTTTTGACATGAATTATTGATTTAATATGCTTCATCACAGTGATATATAATGTTTATGTACTATCTAGTCTTAACAACATCCTTGAATTTACCAATTCATATTCTTCTCCAGATGAAGAAAATGAATTCTCACAAACCCCTGAGTTCAAAAATAGAGAAAAGGAAATGCTGACGTATACTTACCTGACAGTAAAACCTGTGTTCTATCCACTGAACAACTCGTTCTTACAGTTACAAAATTGATGTTCCTTTTTCACAAAGGAGCAATTCACATGCAATCACCGGGAAGCCACTGCAAAAAATGCTGTATTTAACTGCTCACCCACTATAGTGATATGATAAAATGGAAACCAACCTTGCTGCCTTTTGGCTTGTGATAGACCCCACGAAGAAAGCACACATAGCTGTTACATTATTTGCAGTATGCAGGTGTACAATTCTCTATTTCATAAGACACAAATAAGCCTGGACATAGTTGGTCATTACTGTGTTAATACAGAGTAATTGCACAGCCATTTCTTTTCCTGCAAATTATATGGTTATGCTTGGAATTACCATGAAAATGAAAAACTTGTAGTTGCCAGTAAATGATTGCCTTATAATTACAAAATAATTACATAGTTATTTAGGTCTAGAAATATAAAGCATGGGACAAAATCCATATATTTCTAGTCAGAGCAATCAAGGTCCAAAGCTATCAGTCAATTTAGGAATTACCCTTAAGACTTTCTGCAATTCTGAAAAACTTTAACTTTTCTGGAAAGGAAAAAAAAAGTCACAAGAGAGATAACCTCCCTCACTAAAGTAGAATTTTCAGTATCCCGCCCCCCCAAAGCTATTCCACTGTACAAGTAAGTCCACAGTAGTACTAACAGAATTCTTCTGCCTACTCCTGGTTGTCTGTGCTTACACAGGCAGAAGACAGGCCATTTAGCAGAGTCTTCATATATTGCTTCATGTCATGGAGTCACCTAACTATATGGTAATTGTGCCAGTCACTAGCTTATTCAACCTTTTTGTCACTTCCTGTATGCTTCCTGTTCGTGCTGTATTTATTACTCATGTTTTTCCTATTAGGGTATTATGGCACCTGAATGTTACAATATTTCATGTAAAATGGTACTTACCATACCCAATCCTCTTGTTTAGGTATTTCATATAAGAGTTTTTATAGAGAAAATTTATGACTAAAGAGCAGAATATTGGCTGAAAAGATAGCTCAGTGGGTAAGGGCACTTGTTCTCACAGAGGAACCAGGTTTATTTCCCATTACCAACAAGGAAGCTCACAACTTCCTATAGCTCCAGCTCCAGGAGATCTGACAGCCTCTTCTGACCACTGTGGGCACCAGGCACACACATGTTGCATAAACATATATTCAAGCAAATCACACACATTAAAAATTATGTAGTTAGAGTCTACTGATTTGCCAGGCAGTGGTGGCACACGCCTTTAATTCAAGCACTGGGGAAGCAGAGGCAGGTGGATCTCTGTGAGTTCGAGGCAAGCCTGGGCTGTAAAGTGAGATCTGGGATAGGCACCAAAACTACACAGAGAAACCCTGTCTCAAAAAACCAAAAAAAAAAAAAAAATCTACTGATTTAAAAACTATAGCATAAAACATTGAACCTCAAAATTCAAAATATCTATTTTAATTACTTAATTACTTCTTACTTATATTTAATTACTTATAAATTCTGTTTAATTATATTTAAATTGTATTTAATTACTCATTTAATTATTTAATTACTTCTATACTGATATGATGCAATGTTTTCATAGGTCACATAATTAAAACATTTTAACTTTAAAATTTGAATGTGTTAATCAATAAAAGGTGGTAATTATGAAGAAGTTTAAAGTTTCTTTATAAAAACACAATATGGAATTATAGTCACATGCATAATTGGGCAAGTAGTATAAGACATTGTATTTTATTAAATTAAGAAACTTTTATGTAGCAATGAAGTCAATCAACAAAATTTAAAAACCAACCTGTGAAGTAATAGATTTTCAAATTACTTACTCAGCAAAGGATCAATATGAAGAATATAGAAGGAAGTCAAAAAGTTGTACATCAAATTTATCACAAGTAAATCCATTAGACATTGACTATATGACTAGACCCTTCTCAAAAGTAGCATGTAAGTGCTATCTTAAATATAAGTGATATCTCAAAATGACAATATTAAACAAATGCTGTTGAAAAGACAGCAAAAGAGAAACTTGTATATACTGTTGTTCTAAATGTAAATCAATAATGTCATCCTGGGAAGTAATATGAAGTGTCCTCAGAAAACTAAAATTAGAACTACTGTAGGACCTACCCATTTCACAACTGGACATATATATTCAGAAGATACAGGATCATTATGTGTAAAAGATGTTTGAATGTTCATTTTTATGACAGAACTTTTCATAAGGTCTAAAATTTATAATCTATCTAGATGCCATCTAGGTAAGTTGAATAAGATTAAAATATGGACATGCCATGTCTTTTCTCAAATGATGGACTATATCTTCTCCACTATGCACCCAAAGATATCTTTCCTATTTTATGTTAATATTTGCCAAACATTCAGTTATAGCAACGAGGAAAACTAGTAGAAAAAATTCATGGTTAAAATGGGGTTGCTGTGGGTACCAGGATATGTGGGTTGCAGGCAACTTTTAAAGTAAGAAGATGGAAATTGTGGCTTGTGTACCATGGAAGTCAAAGACTGCTGCAAAGATAACTTACTGTGCTCTTCTGACAAGAGTTTGGAAAATCAGAATATGGACAGAGATGCTGAGAGTAAACACGATTCACAGGGTTTCAGCAGAGAACAGGGATGCTCTTGTGACTGGCTTGGAGACCATCTATATTGTATTCTGGAAAGAATCTGCCTACGTTTTACCCATGTCATAAAACACTGAGGGAGGTGAATTCTAAAGCAATGAACTAATTCGTTCAGAGGACATTTCAAGAGGGCATAGCATTTAGACTGTTTCATTTTCTGCTCACTGCTTTTAGCCTAACTTATAGTGAATGAACAGAAAGTAAAGCAGAAGCTGTGAAAATGTGAAGAATCATGAGGAGTGGAGCATGGGCGGTTTAAAGCAGTGGGCAGAGTAGAGGTAAGTATTAAAGAGATCAGAATAATAAAAGAGAAAAATCACACTCTGCATAGGGAAGTGGGAATGGTGTCTTGAGGGTAATGATCTCCTGTGCAAGGCTCAAGGATGTATAATATGCAAATATATTTTAATGGAAAAGGATTGAACACAGATTGCCACAGCCAGGCAATCCTGCTTGAAATGCAGCCTTACAGGAAATCTTTTCCCAGATTCAGGTACATGGGCACTCAAAGCAGGCAAAGGCTCACTGTCACGCTGCAGACAGAACTCAGTGTGACATGTTTAGTGTTATCCTGGTTTGGCAAACATGGCACTTCCAAGAGTTATAATCATGGGGGCTTGCACCAACCACGGACGTTCCTGGAAACCGCAAATGACGGGGAAGAGTAGGGTTTTCTCCAAGTCAGTCTTGAGAGGCCATCGCAGTGCAGACAATGGGAGCACGTATTAGGAAGTTCTGCAGGATCAGTGGGTCCACATACACCAGGACATGTGTGAGCTGAGGGGTCCAACCCCAGAGTGCTGATATGTGGGGCAGTGGGCAGCAATGAAAATCAAGTCTATTCAAGATGGCTGCCGCTCAGATCTTTCTACCATCAGTCCAGACATAGGACGTGGAGATGCAGGGCTTGGTGTCTCCTGGTTTTCAGGTTGCTTTGGTCTAATCTTTCTTTGCAGCTGCCCTGTCTACCTCCTTAAAAATGGAATTTCTGCTCCTAGTCTGTGCCCATGTGTGTAGGAAGTCTGTAACTTAATTTTAATATCATACAGACTAACAGTTCATAGATTATCTTTGAATTTGGACTTTTGTACAATTTTGAATATGTTAAGTTTGGAAGACTTTTAGAGATATACTGAATATATTTTGCATTATGAGATCAAGGTGAGACTTTAGAAACCCAAAGTGGGATGATGTGATTTAAAATGATATATCTTGGAGACATTCTGCCAAGGGGTGAACTTGTGACGATGTATTCTTTTTGCCAACTTGACTGGATTTGTAAATGCCAGAATGACTAGTGAAGTACATGTGTAGCAGTGTCTGCGATGTGGTACAAACAGTTAAAATAATAGAAACTGTGGGTCTAAAATTTTAAGGAAAGATTCATATGTTAAATGAGACGTGGTATAGTAGAAGCCTATTAATAGTAGCAAGCAAAGTGTACAATCATGTTCTGTAGAGCCATTACTACAAAAATAAATGAAGATGAATACCAGAAATTATGACTAAAAGCTTGCTCAGATAGAATTCTTTTCCCCATCTCAGCATCAGAAGTGTAGTTCCATGGTTTTTGCTAGGAGAAAAATAAAAATAGTGAATAGGAGGGAGGCCCGCAACTCTCTTACTGTAATTTGAATCTGAAGTGTCCTCCACAGACTCAGAGTTTGAATGCCTTTCCCCGGTGGTTTTGCTGGTTGGCTCTACTTTGGGGGGTCCAGGAACATTCAGGAAGTGAAGCCTAACAGAAAAGGAAGCAGTGCGATAAGCATCTTAAGGTTATGCCCTGGCCCCTGCCTCTGGCCATTCGTTCTGTTATCTGATCTGTCACTAGACAAGCTGCTTCTGTCTTATCCCCTGCAGCTCTGATTGGAACTGTGCTCCCACACCTTTTCCAGTGTGGTCCATCAGTCGGCACTCTCACAATCTGTGAGCCTTAATAACACTTTGGTGGACTAAGTCGTATCTATCATATGTTTTAATCATACCTTTATAAAAAGTAACTCTGAATGAAAGAATTGACTGCATTTACAAGGCAATTTGTAAAACTTTAAGCTTAAAGGCATTCTCAACACACACACACACACACACACCCCAAAACAAAATACAGTTAAAACAAAAACAAAACAACAACAACAAAAAGCCAACCGAATTGAAAGGAGAAACTTACAGATCTATTGGAGATTTAGGCTAAACTATGGCCTAGTTACTTTTTCATAATAAAGTGGGGGGAGAGCTTTCTTACCAAGAGAACAATTGTCCAATATTACTCTGTGGAACTACTACTTCAGAGTAGGTAGGACTTCAATGGATTTGCCTATGAAGGAATTTCTGTCTAGGTGCATTCTTAAAAATATTTAAATGGTCAATCATGAAGAGAAGTTTGATAGCTATGATTAGTAATGAAAAGACAGAGGAACTCATATATGTATACATATGTATATATATCCCTACATATACATTTGTATAAATACACACACACACACACACACACACACACACACACACACACACACATATATATATATATATATATATATATATGACAGCCAGTCAAACCTGTCACTCCAGGTGACTGCAGTTATACCCCAAGGACACAGATTTTGCACTGCAGTTACTTGGGTTCATGGAAATAATTTTAGCAGTCACTGAGGATGAAGTGAAGAAAATGATAATAGCAAACCAAAGTGAAGATGAGGGATAAGAACTTCTGATATTGCTGTGATGTTATTACCCAATGCTCAGTTTCTAATGAAAACAAAGAATCATTGGCTATTCAAAGATGTGAGAACTACCATACATGAGGAGGAAAAGGAGACAATAAAAAATGCCTGTGAGAACAACCTGATGCTGGATAGAGTAGACAAAGACTTCAAAGCCCATTATCAATTAAATATTGAGATTAAAACGTGATGGAACAAAATTAGAAATCTAGTCAGATATGGTGGTTAATTTCTGTAATCTCTGTGTTTGGGTTGAGGGATTAGCATGAGGATCGAGAAATCAAAAGCCAGCTGTGGCTACACAATGAGGTAGGAAACAGCCGAGGCTATGTAAGACTACAACTCAAACAAGTTCATAATACAGAGGAACTGGAAAGTTCAAATATATATTGTTCGAATCTAGATGGTCTTTTAATAAAAAACCCAGAGCCAGATATTGGGGTGAAAGCTGAAAGATCAGAGAAGCAGAGCAAGCCACAGCCAACCTCACCTCGCCAACTCCACAAATTTCCACGAATCCTCTGACTGAAAGCCTCTGAGTCCTCACCTGAAAGGATCTCAGCTGAACTGCTTTAGTTCCTGTCTCCTCACACCTTATATACCTTTCTCCACCAGCCATGTCACTTCCTGGGATTAAAGGCGTGTGTGCTACCCAGTACTGGGATTAAAGGTGTATGCCACCACTGCCTGGCTCTGTTTCCAGGGTGGCCTTGAACTCACAGAGATCCAGATGGATCTCTGCCTCCCAAGTGATAGGATTAAGAGTGTATGCCACCTCTGTCCTCCGATCCCCAGGCAATATATCACTACAACATATATCAAGTAATCAATTCAAATAAAAAATATATCAAAAACTAATTTTTAAAGAAAACTGTAAAATATATGGGATGAATAAAAATGAGGAAACCATATAGCAAAACAAGCCAAAACAGTACTTGCTCCAGGACAGCCAGGGCTATAGAGAAACCCTGTCAGGTAAAGCGCGAAAAGGGGATAATTTGTAACTGTGAATGTCTCCATTAGAAAATGAGAGATTGGAGTTGTGGGGTTGGCTCAGTGGGTAAAAGTGATTACCTTGCAAGCATGAGGACTTCAGTTCCGCTCTTAAGACCCCAGGTCAAGTGGTAGCACATGTCTGTAACTCCAAGACACCTGCCATGAGAAAGGAGGTGGAGGCAGGAGGATCTTTGGAGGATAATGGGCCTAGCTGACTAACATATGGATCAGAGAACAGTAAAATGTGCTGCCTCAAACAGGATGGAATGTAGAGTCATATACCTCATGCCTACATGTGTCCATTGTGTATGTCTTTGTCAGTCAGTAATCTTGAGGCTAGCTACGGTTTTGTAGCATTCTTGTTCTTCTTTGAACATGCTCTCGTCATGTCCTTCTTTACAGTTTTCTCTGTTAAACTATCTTCCTAATATTTTGACATGAATGATACTGTTAGCAATTATATCTCATCTTAACCAAGTCCTGTATTTATTTGCTGGGATACTTCTAATCCTTCAAATGTTCTGAGGGACCCATTCTACATATATATATATATATATATATATATATATATATATATATATATGCAAAGTGGGTATGTGTCTGTGTATATGTGTGTTCCTGCATGCATGTGCATGTGTGCTCTACTACTATTGATTTGATGAGTTCTGTTGTTCTACAGGATACCGCATTTTCTTAGTTTATTGCCTTAAGTTTTTGTATCTGAGTGAACTCGATATAAATTTGATTTTGTTTTCCATTACATTGGCTTCATCTTGCTTTTTCACTACATGTCGTACTCTGCACATATTCCTAACCAGAATACCTTCCAAGGTAATTAAAAATACCCTGAAAGGAAATGACCAACAATGGCAGAGTGTGTCAAGGCAATCTTTTCAATGGCATGCTGTACAGGAGGTCCCACTTTTCCTGAAACATTTAATGACATGGAAACAAAATCCTACTTGAAAGTATAAAGTAAAGGTGGAGAAGTATATCTTAAGATTACCATATTAACATTCTTAATTTTCTATTTGTTCCTGATGTAAACATTGTTTTATAAATTCCATATTAATTTATAAGTGATTTACAGAAATTAATAGTACTACTACTTAATTATACCAGTCCTGCATCAAGAATAGTGAGAACTTGGTTTGTTTTGAGGAAAAGGGATGAACTTGAAAATATCAATTACAATTAATAACTATTTTGGAGGATTTTTTATGACCAACTAAGTGAACTTGGAAAAATGGTAACTGCTTTTTACTCTGACTCTTTGTTTAGTAATAAGTGATCAATTTGGG